TCTTGGACTCTTTGCAAGGCAGATCAGCAGGAGAGGGCTTACATGTTCCAAGTGCACCGAGTGTATCTAAGTCTCTCTTGAGACCAACTCAGTCCGGGGAGAAAAAAGAAAAACATGTCAGAGACAAGGGAAGGAGTGGGTGTTGGTAGAGAGACACTCAATGGTTACATAATGTGAGGACTAGAGCAAGAATCTTCCGTTCCTTCCACCCTCTGTCACTACCTCTGAAATTCTCAGTCAGCACTCTCCTAAAAACTTTGCGATATCCCCATTCATTTAGTAGCCCCTGGAAATGTTTATTAAGTTTTCAATAGTTGTGTAGACAAAAGGGCAGGGACATACAAATATTTTCATACTCCTAGAAGTGACTTACTTTAACATTGTCCCCAGGTGATGTCCCTGGGTCCAGATCCTGATTAAGGCAGAAATATGAATGTGGCCCCCTTGGGTTCCCTCCTGGGATTGCTGTGGCAAGAATATAGAAATCTTTGGGATGCTAATTGCCCATCAATCACACCTGGAAACAGGTAATTGGACAGATGGGCATGGCCACTGCAAGTGCTCAAAATCTAAATATGTAAACTCCCCAACAAAGGAAGCTCAGCCCTTCTTCTTTCTCTTGGCTCCAGGGTTCTGGGCCCTCTTGAGACTCCTGCTGCAGGGGGCAGTGCGCCTCTGTGCACACGTGGCACCCCACCATGTTGGATTTCACACGTGGATTAATGGACTTGAATCTGGCCTGAATGCTAAACCACACACCTGGCTGCAACATGGAACAGAAACTCTGGATGCTGGCCTAGTTGCTGACTCTATTGAACACCCAATGCCCCTCTTTAGGACTGGCTTAGGGGAAATGGGACATTGCAATCATGCCAATAAAATCTTCTGCTGCCTCTCATCCTCCCGTGGGGGGCTTCTGAAAAGGCTGATTTCAGCAGTGCCCCAAGAACCCCACAAACAATGGAGGATTCCCACGTGTGTACCCCTCCAGCAGCAATAGGAGGAGTAGAGACATGAAGAGGAAGAAAATAATTTCCATTCACTTGACCTCTTCATTCATAGGCTTGCACGAAAACACCAACAATAGCGCTTAGCTGGCCCCCATTTTATTTATTAAATTTGGAGTATCTTGAATGCCTATCCCATTTAATGTCTATAGAGAAATACAATGTGGTCACAAGGGAGCAGTTATTCTGAATTTTTACTGAAGTCAGTAGGTCTGGTCTGCTGACTAGGCCATGTGGTGGAGGAGCTGAGCAAGCTGAGGCGAGTTGCAATCTCAAGACAATGTGAATAAGTCCATCTGAGACCCATGAGAAAGAGGACAACTTGCCGAGGTCCCAGCCACTTATAAAAGCAATTAATCAAATGATAACAGGAAGTGCATGGACACTTCCTCTGTAACATGGGACTAGGACATCATCCACCCCCTTATATCAGAGGGGCCCTGAGAAATGAATTCTAGACAAATAGATAACAGTGCCCAAGAACCTTCTGTCTATAAAGCCCTGGAAAGGGCAGAATTAGAAAGGGTTGGCAGTAGAGCCATGCTTTAACAATTATCATAACTTCTATGCTCCGCCTCCTTGTTCCTAGTGACAGGCTCCCAACCCAATGAATTTGTTTTTGTGTATAGCTTCTGGAAGAGATATTCCTAAGTTCCTTTCTCCTTTATAAGATACTATAACCTTGGCAAAACATTCATGTAGGATACCTGTGTTATGTACCTATTGTGTGTGTGTGTGTGTGTGTGTATACACATACATATATATACCTAAATATAGTATGTTTATATTGTACATATGTATATGAGCATTTATCTGAATATTATAAAAATCAAACATGACTTAAAAATATATTGTTATTGATTTCAGAGAGGAAGGGAGAGATAGAAATGATGAGAGAGAATCATTGATCGGCTGCCTCCTGCACGCCCCACACTGGGGATTGGAGCCTGCAACCTGGACATGCGGCCTGACCTGGAATCGAACTGTGACCTGGTTCATAGGTTAATGCTCAACCACTGAACCATGCCGGCTGGGCTCAAATATGACATTTTAAAAAATGAGTGTCGGTGATTGAACTACAAGCTATAAAATGCCAGGACTCTGATCAGCCCCAACCATTTACAGTAGCGATGTACCTGAAGCCTCCGGAATTACATGACCAATTTACCACTTTATATTAGTTATAACTCATAAAGCAACACGAGGGTCCTGGCAGCACACTTTCAAGCAGAATTAACGAAGACGGCAGAGTCATTAAAAGCCCAGGGAAACAGAACTTTGCTTAGTGCCATGACTGGGTTGTTAAAACACAGCCAAAGCACTAAGACCTCTTGTTGGAGGGTTTGACACCCCCCGATAGAGTTAGTTGTAGGCATAGAGCTCACAAATCTGATACTGAACAGTAATTTACTAAGCAAGTACTGCCGGCAATGTGACAGGTCTGGGGATACAGTCCTGAGAAAGAAAAGGAGGATTCCTGCCTTCATGAAGTTGTCAGAAAATCCTATTGAGTGATGAGCTTTCTTTGGGACAGCAAGTCACTTGGCAGACTTTGCGCCTAATTGGTATAAGGGCCGAGCTTCTGTCATCCACTCCGTGTGCCATTCTACCTGGGAGCACCCAGCAGGGACCATCCAAGGAACTCCTAGGAATCTTCTCTTAGCTCCCTGTCATTCCTGTTAGCTCTTCTCCTATGACTGGCAGGATGAAATGAAGGGAACTTATGTTTAACACGGAGAGTTCCTTTTGTGCATGTTGGCCTCTGTCTCTTTAAGGCTGAAGGCTTGGCTGTCATTGTTTAATCTCACTGATAAAGTTATCATGTAACCCAGTGTCTGTTAAATGAGCTATAAAAAACACCTTTGAAATACAAGAGAAGTGCATTGTGACCTGCAGGTCACATCGAATTCTAGGCAGGAGGGTAGGGTAGAGAAGGAAATACCCTCGTTGCTTCCACCTAAATTCTGATCAAATTACTCTAGACTTCTTTGTCAAGTAATCTTCGTCAGGGAATTGGTTTCAATGAGCAAAAAAATCAAAGTGCTCAAGTCACTGCCTCAATCTAGGGCCCGCGCTGTGCAGAGTCAAGCACTGCAAGGCTGACCCAGCGAAGAGAAGCTGAGAAGACGAAGAGCTTCAGTTGAAATAAGAACCACCACGTAATTTATCAGTGAAACCAGGAAGACGCTGATAGGGGGGGCACTCTTAATAATCACGCTGAAACAGTAGGTGCAAACTGGGACTAGACCCAGCAAACTCATAGGTAAGATCATCCATCCTACTTTGAAAATCAAATTGTGCCTGGAGCCAACCATCCTCGAAAAATCTAAAAAAAAAAAAATACCAAAGACTGGAGCAAACTAGTCACCTGCCCCAAGAAAACTCATTTGTTCGCTGTAACAGGCCCCAGTTAACTCTGAACTGACTGAGGACATCACCTTTAAAAACAGAAATACGAAAAAAATGTGATTACTACTGGCCACAATACCCGACACCTTAGGTTCAAGTGTTGGATAAGTGGTTTTACTAGAAATGTGTACAACACGATGGAGCCGGAGGGAGCTCCTACCCAGCCTGAGGTAGAAATGAACGAAGGCAGGAATGAGCCAGGAGAAGGTGGAAGAACTTCCAGGTAAAGGGACCAAGAGCAAGGGCATGGAGGTGTAACATGAGCTTCTGGGGAATCATAGGTAGCTCGCTGGTCTAGTGCAGGGGTCGGCAAACTGCGGCCCCTTGGGTGTGGCTCTTCCACAAAATACCACGTGCGGGTGCGCACATACAGTGCGATTGAAACTTCGGGGCCACACTCAAGGAGCCAAAGAGCCGCATGTGGCTTGCAAGCCGCAGTTTGCCGACCACTGGTCTAGTGCAAGGGAAGGCCCAATCCAGGGCATATGTGGGCTGGCTGACCCTGAGCACACCCAGCCTCGGAAGGCTTTAACCAGGATAGCAACGCGGTCAATATTTGCCATTTAGATGAATCACTGGCAGCTGGGCAGAGGATGAAATCGAGACCAGTTAACAACACAAATACTTCAGGCTGCTATAAAATTATGGCAGAGGAGTGGTTCAATACAACGTGACAGTGTGGTAGGTCAGAGCCCAGCTCTGAGGCCAAGGGGTTGGGGTGGAGGGCTGTACCCTATTATGTCTCTAGGGCTGAGATATGTCTTCATCCAGAAATGCCAAATACCCAAAGTACAAGGAAGAGTTGTTCAGCAATATGACTCGATTTTTTAATTCCAAGAACAGGTAAACTTGAACTTATTTGGCCTCTTAAATACTCATGCCCCCCCCCCCCATGCCCCTTTTTGGTAGGAGAGGGCATGAAATGGCACACAGGGATTTAAAAGAAGCACGTCAGAAGATATAAATGTTAGCTTGATTTAGAGCTGCTCTGGGCAGTTAACAGTTTGTTTACAACGAGGAGTTATCTAACCCTGAACATACTGTACATGGTAATGAGACGTCGTCACGGCAAAAAAACCCACAGCCAGCTTGCTGCCCCAGCCAACACAAAAACTGCCAGGAACAGTAGGGATGAAGGTGGGGTTCGTTTGTTTTTTATTATAAAAGAAAAAAATAACTCCTCAGTATCTTAACGAAAAGGAATATTTCACACACAAAACAGTTACCAGGATACAAAATTACAAGTGTTTAACCCCAGTCTTGTCCCCCTCCCCTCTAGGAGCAGACAGGAAGGAGACAGTGGAAGCAAACAAGCAATTCTGTAAGAGACTTCAAATCCCTACAAGTATGATTAAAATCTAAACTGGTTTTGCTTTAAAAAAAAATTTTTTTTAATATATCAAAAGGCCTGCTTTAGTGACATGCTAGTCCCCCAGAAAATAACCCAATACCCCCCTTGTCAGTAACATACATGCTCAAGTTGACCAGCCAACTCATAATTCTAAACCCCTGTGCATACATGTGTCTTATCATCCAAAGCCAAGGGGCTCGGGTGACTGCTATTTGCTCCTGTTAGCCGACCCGAAATATAAAAATACTACTCTGATTTGTGTTATAAACGGAGGACCAAGCAACGAGAACTTTTTCTTCGAAGGTAGGGCTACCCATCCCATCCCTTTTTGCAAGCCAGGAAAGCAGGTCACTGTGAAGGGGTCACAGTTGGCAGGTAAGAGGGCTTCCTGCCTGCTGCCCCACCCGCCATCTTTCCTAATTCTCACTTTCATTAGAAAGCTGCTTATAACCTTTTATGGGACTTCCCAACCAAAGGGAGTTTCTAACCTAGTCACAGAACAAGCCCAGCACTCCTACCCCCTTCAGCTACCTCAAAGAAGAAAAAGGCCCTTCCCCTCCCTTCACAAATACTATGCTCACTGTCCAGAGAGCTACGCCTGTTGGACAAACACCTGATTAAGTGAAGCAGTGGTTATGTTTCCCCGCCCCCGCCCCACTAACACACTAGAAAGCTTGTGATAGGGGAAAAAAAGGGGGTGTGTGTGTGTGAAGAGACTAAGAACTTGACCCCGCTAACCTGGCCAAAGAAAGCAAGAGATATTAACTGGGCAGGAGGAATAAAAAAAGACCTTGATATTCTGCCCTTCTGAGTTACATTTGTTATGACAATTGAGGGGCGAGAGTGGGAGCGGGATGAAGAAGTGATTAGAAGGAGCTGGATGGCTGCAAGTCTAGTCCATTTAGTTTTTGTACTGGAAGGGCTCATCGCCAGTTTCGTTGAGAAGACACGTGCGGATGAGGGCTTCTGTCACTGCAAAAGGGTCGCAGTTGGCAGAGGGGCGCCGGTCTTCAAAGTACCCCTTCTTCTCCTGGCCCACAGACCGGGGAATGCGGATGCTGGCGCTACGGTTGGCCACGCCGGCGGAGAAGTCGTTGATGTTGGAGGTTTCGTTGAATCCGGTGAGGCGCCGGGCATTGTCCCGGCCCCCCTTGGGGTCGTAGGCTCGGATGTGGTACTGATGCCGCTTGCTCAGCCTCTCGATGGACTCCTCGATGTACCTAGAGGAAACAGAGAAGATGACGGTCCGTCCACGGGTCCCCAGGAAACCTGTCCTTCAGGGGCAGGAGCAGGTGCGGATTCAAGAATGAATCCATACTTATCTATCAAAGACTTTTCCCAGTTTCCAATTCACCTCCACATCACTCCAGCAGAACAAATGTCCCCCTTGTTCCTGGCCTGTCCCAGTGCTCAGAAATAATGCCAGACACCCAGTACCTGACATTTGTTGAATGAAAAGATCCCAGCCTTTCTCTCACCCATAAGCATGAAGTTCCTTCACATGCTTGTACTGTTACTAATTTAGTTCTTATTAAAGATTTTCTCATGCCATGAAGCTATGTCAACTTTCCCTATTGCCACCCTTGAGTTCTATTCCTGGAGTCATTTTGACACTTTTCAAATAGGAACAGGACCACAGGGTTAGAAGACAGTTTTTGAAGCCAAGTGGCAAAAGCGAAGGTCCGGACTAAGAAGTCTGGCTTACTCCTCCCCAATACATCACGTCCCTGGCAAGTCTTCTCGCACAGAAATAAGATGGCCCCAGCAGGAGAAGGCACTCACTTCAGACCGTTCTCCTCTCGCATGGCCTTGGTGCTGAAGTTGGTGTGGCAGCCTGCACCATTCCAGTTGCCAGGGATGGGCTTGGGATCAAAGGTAGCGATCACTCCGAAGTCTTCACACACTCGGTGCAAGATGAAACGGGCCACCCAGAGATGATCTCCCATGTCGATGCCTTCACAGGGTCCTATTTGGAATTCCCACTAGAGAACAAGAAGGTCGGCCCTGAATATAAAGCCAGCTGCTCACCCCACTCAGAGGCTCTGAAACCCGCTCCCTTCTCACCTCTAGTCCATCCAACCTTTTAGGTTTGGGGTTAAGGAGGGGAGCATCAGCCGCCCTTGCTACCAAAAAGCCTCTACTTGCCTAGTGATGGGGAAAGCGGCGGATGAGAGCCGTTTACCTGGGCGGGCATGACCTCGGCATTTGTCCCTGCGATCTTGATGCCAGCGTACAAGCAGGCCCGGTAGTGAGCCTCCACAATATCCCTGCCGTAGGCTCTGTCTGCTCCCACGCCGCAGTAGTATGGACCTATAGAGGCATCAAGACGAAACGTCGAGAGAGGAAATCCAGAACACCCTCCCTTTCCACCTAAGATGCACAGCCCAAGGTCAGCAATCAGAAAGCTCTAACACTGGCTCTCCGGAATCACCGTCCCCACCTTCACCTGGCAGTGGGGCAGTGGGGCAGTGGGCTCCTCAGTGGAGCCAAAGGTTTCCCCCCAGTATCAATGGCTAAACATCTATGTTTGCGTCTGGGTAACGTGAGGGCACAGTATCATTCCAGCCAGTCCCAGGGACACTCCCATAGCTTTTTGATCCATAAGGAGTCACTGCCATCTCTGGGGAAAGAAACTTTCCTCACCAATTAAGCAGCCGGGGAGGAACCAAGTTCACCTCTCACCCAGGAGACTTACCTTGGGGTCCAGGGAAGCCATTGGAAGGCCAGCCAAAAGGGTGCCCATCTGTGCCCATGAGAGTATATTCCTGCTCCATTCCAAACCAGGGATGCTGATTGCTCACCATGTCCATTATCCGTTTGCAGGTATATCTTAAATTGGTCTCTAGAGAAAAAAAAAAGAACAACAATCCTTGCAGCAATTCTCAACCTGTGGGTCGCGACCCCTGAAAATACATCCTGCGTATCAGATATTTACATTACGATTCATAACAGTAGCAAAATTACAGTTATGAAGTAGCAACAAAAATAATTTTATGGTTGGGGGTCACCACAACATGAGGAACTGTATTTAAAGGGCCAGAAGGTTGAGAACCACTGCTTTAGAGCCATCTGGGCAAATATACTGAATCTCGGTGCTGATGGGAAAGAAGTTCTTGCAAATCCACACAGCCAAAGTGTTGAGAAAAAGCTAAACTGGCCCTGTTTACCTTGCTGGGTCCCATTGGTGTAAAAGAGGAAAATGGGAGATGCTCTAATTAAACACTTGTAGGGAGGTTCCCCCAAAATTTGTTATAATCAAGTCACATGACAGTGGCTCCAGGAAAGTGCAAGTGTTCACCTTATCAGCATGCTGGCCACCTCGTAAGTACCCAATGCCAAGCACTTACACTGTCTATTCACAAGACAGCCGCTTGTACAGCCAGACCTATTTCTAGTTTCTTGGGCATTTAGAACCAAACCTACAATTTGTATTGCATCACTTGTGTATTGGGAGCCTTGAATTCATTTCAGATGAGAAGATTTAGTGCCGAGTTATAAAGAATTGGATAGTGCAAAAGAGAAACATTACAATGAGATGAGCTCAACTGGAAACAATTTCTAAGCAAGAAGGGAACTTTAAAATAAGTAAATACAGACGTACTGACTGCCTAACTATGCCCCAGGACCCATTTAAAGAGGTCTACATTAAGAAAAATCCACAACCAAGTCTTCCTAACAACCCTGAGAAGGGTATTAGACATCTCCACCTTTACAAGTGAGAAAACGAGGCTCAGAGATGTTAGGTGACCTGCCCAGGTTAGAAGGCAGGCAGCAGAGCCAGGAAACCCATGACTGTCTTGGCCATCAGAGCTCACGCCCTTTACCACAATGATATGGGCTCTCAAAACAAAGGCATTACAAAACTAAGTGACTTGCCAAAAAGTCTCAATGCCAATGTGTAGCAAGAGACTACACAGAAGTGAGATTTCAGCTGAGTTTAAAAAGATGAATGACGACGAGAACTGGGAACGACAGGCATGCCTGACGAAACCCAAAGGTGCAGTTACAGCACACCTCGAGGTAAACGGCTGTTATCAATGAACCAAGAGGCTCATACTTCAGTCAGTGGACAGACAAGGAAGAAAAGAAGATGTCTGGAATGAAGCAACCGATAGTTGATGTCAAACTGCTCTCAATTATTTGCACATATTAACTCATTTAATCCTTCAAACGACTTTTAGGAGATGGATTTTATTACTCATTTTAAAATCAGGATAGGGGAATGAAGGAGAGGGGATAAGTAACTTGCCCAAGTTCATAGCTAAGAAGTGGCAGATCCCAAATTCAGACCCAACATTCTAACTTCAGAACCATGTTCTTAAAATCTACAGGCATGCAGGCCGGCCTGTGTCACAGGGGACTCCACCAGCAAACAGACTTAGAAGAATTCAGTTTTATGCAACCAACAGGAGACCACGGGAGGATGGCCCACTTTACCACTTGGAATGAGGAAGTTCAAGATGGAGAGATGCACATTCAACCCCCAACTCTTCCCCCTCCCCCCGACTCCTGAAACATTGAGACAATCCATTACTAATGTGGCAATAGCCTCTCCCTCCCCTTTCTTCCATTCATGAATTGGGGTGGGGGTATCCATATCTATCCGATACACACCTGCAGGTTTGCGGTTGTATTTTAAGACTTCACAGAACACCAGCTTGTTGGGGTCCTTGCGGAAAGGGTCCCGAAACATGGTAGCAGGAACAAGATACATGTCACTGTTGGAGCCTTCAGACTGCATAGTACTAGAGCCATCAAAATTCCACTCGGGCAACTCTGGGGTAAAAAGAGAGGGAAATCAAGTTAAAAACGCACAGCTTTCCAGGCAGCACACAGCCCTTCACTCACCCGTCTACACTCTCATTCCAGAAATCCAGTGATGCATGTCTCCCACTATTAATACGCGCTGTGATGTGTGCACGTAGCCCTACAGTTCTGAGTTCTAGTAAGACCCTTATATCACTTCCATAACGAAATAATAGTCACAAGGACAACCTAAGAATGATGGTTCTTCCCTTAATAAGACCACTGGACACCAAGGAGACAAATGGAAATATTCTGACATCAGCAGTCAGTCATCATTTTAAATATTGAAATAGGAGAAACAATGATTCTCAATTCCCCCACTAGACCATCTGTGTTTCTTCTTTCTCTGATTCATCACCCACTCCCTGACTGGGTCTATGGTCTGTCCTTATTTTATAGATGAGGAAACAAGACGACCAGCAGGATGCCTTGTTCAAGGATGCTCCCACATGACTTATCCACTTCTCCCACTATGCTTAAAGGCCGGTTTCTTCCTCTCTCCAGCTGACTGAGTTCTCCGAAGGCACAAACCAAACCCTTACCTGTATCCCCAATGTCTTTCTAATACCTGCCACATAGCAGACACACAAGGTATGTCTTATATTATGGTCATTCATTCACTCAAATGTCAAGTTCTCAGTAGAGGCAGCTATCCTAAAAGTAGGTAAGAGGTGACAGTTGTTCTCTGATCCCTTTTCCTAGAAGGAAGAGGGCGATGGCTTCCCTAGTCTAGACCAAAAAAATAAAGGCTACAACTCATATAATGACTGTTAGTGGAACAAATAATCAGATTATTTAAAAATTTCCAAAAGTGGCTCAGCTGGTGTGGCTCAGTGGTTGAGTGTTGGCCTATGAACCAGGAGGTCATGGTTTGATTCCCAGGTGGGACACATGCCTGGGTTGCAGGCTTGTGTCCCCAGTGTGGGATGAGCAGGAGGCAGCCAATCAATGATTCTCTCTCATCGTTGATGTTTCTCTCTCTACCTCTCCCTTTCTCTCTGAAATCAATAAAAATATATATATATATTTAAAAAAATCCCAAAGTGTCATCCGTTAAAAACACATGAATGGCTGGTCCTTTTAAGAAAGCACTTTAGGGTGTTGACTTTGCATCTAGAACCCCAATGATATGAGTTCAAAACAGTATTCAAAGAGTTTGTAAAGTAGATATCTCAGTCAGATTAGAGCAATGGTTAACAAACTGGGTTCCTGGGGGGCCTTAAGCCAACTAAAGGCCACCCAAGTCCACAAAGTATCCAGCCCCTTTTTACCCCCCAACCAGACTTTATTTTTTGTCTTATATATACTGACTTACACACAAGATTTCATTGAAATAAAGGAGTCCATTGTGGCCATGCTCGGAGGCAGTGTAAGAGCTTAATGTTGAAGTGACTGAAGTCTGAAAAGCCCTGACTTAGAAAAGCTTTCCAAACAGAATAAAGAGGCCCAACCTAGTGGCTTGGTCTCAGGCTGCCCACCCAGCACAGACTCCCCACTCTGCTCACCTTCTATACTCTTGGGCTCACTGTCCAGGGTCCGGGTCTTGCATCGCAGTCCTTCTCCAGTACCGTCAATCCAGATGTACATAGCTTGGACTTTATCACCCTGAGGCAGGGACATGTACATCTGCTTGATGCCTTTGTTCAAGTGGGAACTCGCTGAGGTGGACATGGTGGAAGTTGCTCTGGTGAGAAAAAGAAAATAAATAAATGAAGAACACCAATTCCAAAAGGATCCTCTACAGGAATCACTCTATAAGGACAATGAAATCAAGAAGTTACAGAGGGAGTGGTGACCCCCTCCCTTCGGAAGTTACACACTTCAAGGGTCTATTTATTACTCTGCTTTCCGGGGGATTAAAGATTTATGTGAGACAAAAACCTCCTGATAAGCTTCCTCAAGCTAGAATCTTGAGGGCTAAGCTTTATTTTCTCAGTGTGGCGATGGCAGGGAAATGGTTTTATGTATGTATGTATTTATTTATTTTTATACTAAGACACTGGGGAGGAGGGGAGGGAACCCAAAACAAAAGACACAGAAGTTCAGAGACACAAATTTACAGAACAGACGTGGTCTTCTAATACAAACAAAATCCAACCACAGAAAGGCTTGTCTGCCATGGTCTCTGGGTGAGTCTTCCCTTTGCCTGGCATCCTTAGCGGGCATGTCAATAAAAAACCCGTCAATAAAAAACCCGTTTTGAAGATTCCTCCAAACCCTGGAGGGCGGAGGAGGGGGAACCTCACATTCAGATAGTACGTAGGATAAAACAAGGGGGTTAGCCAGGCTTAAAAGACTGGTGGCTTCCTAAAAGAGCTACAGTCCTTATAGTCACCAAGATTAAAAAACAGCTGATCCAAGTTGGATCCTAAGATGCACGCAGCCATCATTTCCATCAAAGCCAAAATTCTCACTTCAAGAAGGTAAGTTTGAGAATGACATGCTGAGATTTCCACTAGAGAGCTTTTCAAGGAATGAGGGGATTCCCACTAATAAATGAAAAAGATGTGCCGTTTCAAAAGCTGACGCCTGCTAGAAACTGCAAGCCAACACCACAAAACCTCGGAAAAGGAGACACTCTGCAGCCACAAAACCTAAGAGGAATCGGTTCTACTGCTCCCTCCCCACCACCGGCCTCGGTGGCCAGGGGTGGCTCAAAAGGGAACATATTGTTCTCCTCCTATGACTTGGGCAACTCTGAAGTACAATGACAAAGTTTCTATGGGCAACCGTCCATGTTTACCCAGCTGAAAACATCAGCTTCTTCCAATATCTTCGCCCTTCCCCTGGGGAAGAGGAACTCGCCTCTCAAGTCGCCCTTTGCCTACCCTCTTAGAAGACTCGGTGGGAGCGTCAAGTCCCACCCTCACCCCCACACCCGCTTCTTAAGCCCAAAAGGAACAAATCCCCCCCCCCCCCATCCCTTCACAGCTCCCAATAAAAGCTACACAACCCAGTCTCCGGCTTTCCTCCCAGACACCAAGCCCACTTCCTCCCATCAGCCTGGGTGGGGGGATGATCTTGGATCTTCTGCTCTTTTCCGCGACACACGTTGGTCGCCAACAGCCTAGTTGTTGACTGTATCACCTGGTGCCACCGCGTGCCTGGTTGACCCGGTGAGGAGGAACACAGGGTCCTGCTGTTTCTGCAGCTGCCGCTGGCTGGAGAGCCTCCTCCCGGTCTCCTCACTCACCCCAGCCACAGAAGGTCAAGCGGGTCGGTGAAGTTGCACTCTTTGGCCCTTCTCTTTTTGGAGTGGCGTTCGTGCCTGTCCTCCTTGTCCCGCTCTGGCTGGAACATGCTCCGGGGCGAGGGAGTCGAATGTGGCGAGGGAATGGAGCCCGGAGAGGCAGCGGGAGAGAGCGAGGGAGTCAGAGAGCGATCGGACCAGGACGCGCCGGAATACGCATGCTGGTGGCTCGTGGTCTTCATCGTAACTCGCGATTTCTCTCCTGGGTTGTTCATGGAGTAGGCGACAAAGCCGAAGCAGCTGGGGGGCTGCTCGGAGGAAATGGACTCCTGGTCATCTTCATCTAGCTTCGCTGTCTTCACCGAGGATCTGCGGCTCGGGGAGAATACCCCTGGGCCACCCCCGGGGTAGTTGGAATAATCCACTTTGAGAGCAGCCCTTTCCTACTGAAATGTCCCGCCGCCCCTCGGGCCCGCGGCCCGATCTCAGGGCCTGGCCATGGGGGCCATACCCCTATGAGGCCCAAGGCTGGGGGACAGCGCGCCGAGGTAAAGGTAGCATCCCACCAGTTAGTCACCTGGTTAGAGCAGGAGGTTGATGAGGCCAGAGTTCTAGGAAAATCTCCCAAGGATGTTTTCTTAAAAGCAGTTTTACCAACTGTATCCCAACCATTAATTCGACCTAGAAAATGTTCCCTGAGCCTCAAACTTTTCATTGTGCCTTGGATCAAATTTTCTACTCTGTTAATTTACCCCCCTGCCCTGCTGCCCAGCCTGGGCCCCTAATAACAGATTGTATGGACATCATTAAACTTTGAAGAGATCTCCTATAAGTCCCTAGCCACTAGACATACAAAAGACTAATCATACAAAAGAGGGAATGAGAGGGAAAGGTCAGGACATCATATAAAATTGGAAACTAGTATTTTATTAAGTTTGCATTGGCT